ACCCAAAGAAGGTGGCCAAGGAGGTGGAGTTGATATTGATATCCGAGGATTTCGCCCTCACACATGTTATGCATGGTGGAGAGGTGCCGGGTAGAGTCGGAGGCCGAGCTCATCAGAGTCCATGTGGTGCCGCGCAAGGGACATTTCGACCCCCGGGAATAAAAAACCAATTTGGTGAATTTGAAAGAGAACGTAACTGTTGGAGGTGGTTGGCGATGTTGTTAGAGAAGAAAGCCTGCGTCATGAAGGGTCTCAACAAAGAAATCGAGGAGTTGTGTTTGACTGACATCGGCAAGATTGCGAAGACTTGGGAAGCCGTAGCAGGCCTTCGCCCCTAGCTTTGATGCCGGCCAGAAGATGAACAAGACCGAGATCCTTGCAAATGAGAGGAGTGGTGTCGCATCGCAACTGGGCCCTCTCGGAGGTGCGTCAGATCCTAGCCAGGAGAGGGAAGCGGAGCAGCCGGCCAAGGCGGACGACCTGATGAAGGGCATCCCTTGGAAGCCTCTGGAAGGAGCTGGTCGTGATAAACAAGACGAAAGGAGTGGAGATGCCGTCCAAGCCAACAAGCGGCCTCAAGATCAAGTTTTTGAGAAAGTCAAAGGCAACCCCAGCGGAGACGGTGGCAACCTTTGACAAGCTCCACGGGGAACTAACCAAACGTTGGGAATGTGCCAATCGATCGAAAAGTTCCAAATGTGCGCAATGCTCGACACGTTCGAAACTTTCGAAACGTTCAAGACGTACAAAAGGTTCGCAGCGTTCGAAACGTTCCAAAAGTTTGAAACTTTCGAAACGTTCAAAAACATCGAAAAGTTCAAAAAGTTCGAAGCATTCCAAACGCTCGAAACTTTCCAAACGTTCCAGGCGTTCGAAATGTTCCCAACGATCAAAGCATGTCACAGAAACTTGTTCGAAGCCGAAACAGGCCAGGAGCAGTGTTAGCAGCCGAAATAGGCCAGGAGCAATGTTAGCAGCCGGCCAGCGGTCGCAGAGGCAACGTTAGCAGCCGAAACAGTCGCAGCCCCATTGATGCTACTCTAATTGAACGCAGTTTTTACTGGTCGACGGTCCTTGCGAAGGTCCTTGACTGGAGGACTGCGTAAGCTTCCGCAGAGGGTTGCTTCGAACCACTCAATGTTTTTGTCCAATTTTGACCTGGGAATCATTTTTGCTTTGGGTATGTGTGACAACTGGCGGAAAACTCAGAGCAGTGGATTCCGGACCTCCGTTACAAAGTTCACTAAATTGCCATTTGAACTCAAACGCGACAGGCATTTGGTCTTCCGGAGGGTTGCGCAGGTTTCTGGACGGGGTTGCAGGCTTGAGGTGCTTGCGATTTTTTGGAGAATGCCACGTATCCGCATTTACATGGTTGCATGTTTGCCGCCGCATTCTTTTGGCTTAGAGTTTTTGTAGCGTTGTTGCTCTCAAAGCTGAGAGCTTTGGGAGATGGTGGCCTATATCAAGATGTCCAAGAAGCCGAGGGCCATAGAACCTTAAAACGTTCCAACTGAGACTGGTGAGTGACATCATCGCAAGACAGCTGGGATGTCGGATTTTTTGCCCTGCTGACGATGAGGAGGTGGCTGGATAGCACATTGCACTAGCAACTTAGAGCTTCAAGAAAGTGGCTTTGCATCAACGCTTGCCCCACGTATTTCAGCGTGCGTGGATGCGAGGTTCTTTGTCATCTAACCGCTGACGCTGTTGTGTTGCACCCTTCGCCCGCATCCAGGCCATCCCGCATGGACCCCCAACTTGCTCTAAAGTAGGGCATTTAGCCAACAAAATTCGTGCTCGCAAAACCCGCAGCCCTCGCAGAACCTCGTGGAGCCCTGGTGGAACCCTGGTGGAACCCTGGTGGAACCCTGATGGAACCCTCATCAAATCTTGCCACAGGGCCGCCCCGGACCACCCCGGAGCCTATCTGGGCTGAGACCCCAAAGCTTTCAGCTGTTGGGGAAAAAACAAAGGTTCCAGATGGCAGTTTGTCACAAAGTGGCTGCGTAGCCGGCCTACATAGCTGCCCTTTCAGTGACCCCTGATTTGAGCCGATTTGAGTCTGGTCGTGGCAGCGCGCGCCGAACAGAACTCAGGCAGCGCAGGAGTAGCTTGCATGTTGGCAAGAACGAGTTGGAAAGAATACATTTTTCAACGATGCCACTCTGTTTGCATGACGCTTCTGTCTTTCCTGGTGTCAGAATCTTGATCAATGATAAATTATCCTGAGGCATGAGGGCAGCCAGGTTTTTGCCATCTGACCGCCCGTTAGAAAGCCCTGCCTGAACCCTGCCTCCTGCCTTTGCAAGCCTGGCTTCTCGTGCCGCACAGAACTCAGGCAGCGCAGGCCATTCGGGCGCCTTTGCAAGCGTGGCGGCTTGCGCAGCAAAGACCTCGGAAGCGCAGGAGTAGATTTGCGTGTTGACGGAAGCATCCCGAAAACAACACTACTCTTTGAATGATTCCACTCTTGTTGCGCCTTTGCAGCTGTGAGAACCTGGATCAATGATAATCACGATAGGGCACGAGGCCAGCCAGTTTTGCCTTAGGCGTAGCTGACTGCCCAAGCCCCCCTGCCTCCGCATAGCCAGAGGTTCGCCTCAGGCCTACGTGACTGACCACCCCTCAGCGACCAAGCCTTGCCTGAACCTTGCCTCCTGCTTTGCGTCTGGAAAAGTGCTGGTTGCCATTCGGGCTGCCTTTGCAAGCGTGGCGGCGCGCGCCCGTGTTGACGGCAGCGTGAACCGTTTGCCTGTTTGGGCGTCAGAAGTTTGATCAATCAGTATGACGAGGCATGAAGGAAGCCAGAGTGCCTTGGGCCTACGTAGCTGACCACCCCTCAATGACCAAGCCTTGCCTGATCCCTGCCTCATGCCTTGAGTCTATTCAGTGTTGGTGGACGTTTGGCTGCCTTTGCGAGCGTGGCGGCTCGCGCAGCACAGACTTCGGCAGCGCACGAGTAGTTTGCATGTTGGCGGAAGAAAGTTGAAATCAACACCGCTTTCAACGATGCAACTCTGTTTGCATGACTCCTTTGTCGTTGGCTTCAGAATCCTGTCCAATGATAAAACCATGTGATTCACGCCGTAAGTAGCAAACGAGTAAACCTTGCCTGACCGCTGCCTCATGCCTTGAGTCTATTCAGTGTTGGCGGATGTTTGGCTGCCTTTGCGAGCGCGGCGGCTCGCGCAGCACAGACTTCGGCAGCACACGAGTAGTTTGCATGTTGGCGGAATCAAGTTGAATATCAACACCACTTTCAACGACGCAACTCTGTTTGCATGACTGGTCTGTCGCTGCTGGCTTCAGAATCTTGACCAATTACAAAATCGTATGGTTCCCGCCGTAAGTAGCTAACCACCTCTCAGTGACCAAGCCTTGCCTGATCCCTGCCTCATGCCTTGAGTGTATTCAGTGTTGGTAGCCGTTGGGCTGCCTTTGCGAGCGTGGCGGCTCGCGCAGCACAGACTTCGGCAGCGCACGAGTAGTTTGCGTGTTGGCGGAAGAAAGTTGAAATCAACACCGCTTTCAACGATGCAACTCTGTTTGCATGACTCCTTTGTCGTTGGCTTCAGAATCCTGCCCAATCATAAAACCATGTGATTCACGCCGTAAGTAGCTAACGAGTAAACTTTGCCTGACCCCTGCCTCTTGCCTTGAGTCTATTCAGTGTTGGTAGCCGTTGGGCTGCCTTCGCGAGCGTGGCGGCTCGCGCAGCACAGACTTCGGCCGCACACGAGTAGTTTGCATGTTGAAATCAACACCGCCTTCAACGATGCAACTCTGTTTGCATGACTCCTTTGTCGTTGGTTTCAGAATCTTGACCAATGACAAAATTGTATGGTTCACGCCATAAGTAGCTAACCGCCTCTCAGTGAGTAAACCTCGCCTGCCAGCTTCTTTCCAGTGCCCTCGATTCATTTTTCGGGTGCTATGATCCATTTTGAAAATAAGGGCGCTTAATCCTAAATCAAAGAGGTCACTTAAGCCATTTAAAGGGCGCTTAGACCCTCAGGGTTGCCGCCCCCAGTGGTTGTGCGAATCGAGGTCACTTACCCCTTGAAAAGGTCACTTACGCATACTTACGCTAGTGTCGGCCCCCCTGCGTGAGTGTCATTCACGTGTTGCTGCAGCTTTAGTTGCCCAGCGTCGGTCCCTCCCCCCCCCGTGCGAGTGTCATTCGCATTCACCTGTCGCGGCTCCATTTGCCCGGACTGAGGAGGGATCTGCTGACACTCAAATGACATCGCTTTGACACTCACAGCGCCATGTTCGGGCTATTGCAGGTGGGCTTTCCCATTCATTGGGCTTCATCCATAGCTGGTGCAGGGTCCCCGAGCAATTTTGACCCCCGCTCACATGGCTCGTGGCTTGTTTCAGGTGGATGCTCCCATTAGCCAGGTCGATGGCTGGATAGGAACACTCCCCCCCCCCGGTGCGATCACACTTCGCCATCCCAAGTGTCGCTGAAAACAACAACCCTTTAATGATACCAATCGCTTTGTAAGACTTGCCGTGCGCTCGATTGCATGCATGCGTGTCAGCAACACAGAGCTGCATTTGCGCACGGCTTCTGGCTTTTGGAGAACAGTGCCTGATGCCGCGCTGTGTTGTGACGCCAGCACCTCACTTGCTGCAAGAGGCGGCGATCCCGAAAGAGCGTGCGATCACACCTTGAGGGCATTGACGCGAGCCGCAGATTGAAGAGAAACTGTGCCCAGCCAATAGGTGGAACTTGACAGCCATCCACCAACCAGTGAGTAGTCTGCCCGTCTTCCATTACCAAAGTGCACTTGGACGCCGATAAGCAGCTAGTCAAAAATTACAGGAAGCCGCAGGAAAACACTCTTAAGAGGAAGTTTGCTCCCTAGCGCGGAAGGGGTCTTTTGTTTAGAGTTTTTTGAGCTTAAATTAACAATATCATTGAAGCATGTCCAGAGTGGACTAGGTGGTTTTCCATTTCACGACTGGGTGTTTTCCCTTTACACTTGACTGAGCCAATCACCTTCGGTGGCTTTCCGGAAGGCCACATGTCGAGCGCCCGAGCGAGTCCCTCAAATCTGCCACATGCAGTTTCCAGGGCAAGTTGCACCAACAGTACTGCACCACCTAAGAAACCCTGGAATGATGATTCCCCTGTAAATACTTAACGTTATGGTTTCCCATGGTTTCCAATTGGTGCGAACGGATTTCGCAACCATCCACGGTAGTAATCGGAGCCCCTGTCAAAACCAGTAATTGTTTCATAGGATGAAGGTGGGCTCCGGGAGTTCAAGTGTAGTGTTTGGACAAAAGGAATGAGGCGGCGTGTCCTGGTCCTTAGTGTTTTGACAAAGGCCCATTTGGCTCCGAGCTTTGATTTTCAAACTACCTCAAACGTGGCTGTTGGTTTCCTGTTACCTGAATCCCCACCCAAATGGCTTTGGCTCGGGTCACACAGGTAATAGTCTTGCTTTTCCCTGCAGCATGCCATTTGGGGTGCAATTTTTTGACCAAATTGTGTCCACCAACGGGTCCCCCACTAAAAGTCGCGCCCATACAGAATATTATGCTATATGGGTATGGCTCAACATTCAACAGGAGGGGTTACGCAGGTTTCCACTTACCAGGGTTCCATTTTGGTACCAGTTTTTTGAGCCATACCCATATAGACATGTTTATAGTCACCCCTCCTTTCCCAGGCCTTTCACTACTCTTGTGGGAAAGTGTCACATCCTCTGCACGTCTTTCTTCCATCTGACTTCACTGCAAAGCACAGTGTGTTTGTTGTATATACATATATATATATATACATATATTTATACGACATATATGTATATATGTGTATATATGTGTATGTATATATATCAAATATAAACGTGCGCACAATACACACCTACACGCACACACAATCGGACAATCGGAATGCGGAAGGCCCAAAAAAATTAATTTGAGGCTCTGAGTCGTCATCAGACCAGTTCTTGCTGGCCATGGCAAAGAGAGGCGCGGGATTCGAGCGAGCCAATTGAGCCCCAGTTGCGTGAAATAGCCAGAAGTTCAGAAGCTTTTCTGGGTCAACGGGTAAGCCATACAAGATCCTCAAAAGACATGAGTGACCCCAGACTTCTATTTCCATAAGTCCTTTATATAATGGACAAAAGGGGAGAGTTATCTCTGGACTTTCATCAACGACGCAAAGGTTTCGGCTGAAGGTTAGGTTCCTAGGGCTCCATGATATCAGCGCCCGATTTTCTTTTGAGCTCAATCAATGACCCTGCTACAACCACAATTTGGAGAGTGTCTTTTTGTAGGGGACCCCCCAAAATGGTAGTTTTCCTCTTGGTTTTACATTAAAACCACCAAAAGGGAGTACTCTCAACAAAAAACATCCATTTTGCCTCATCCACATCCTTCTACGCTCTAGGACTGCACGTCCCAGCTTCATCTGTAGTTTTGGCCAGGCGACAAAGCACTGGCGAGAACTGCACGCGCTGATGCGGCAGCCTGTGCTGCGCAAGCGGCCGAAGCGCCCGAAGCGCCGACGTGAGACAAAAGGTTTCGGCGTCGCGCTGAGGGTATTCAGAAAGTCTACTTTCGAAGCTTTGTTTCTTCCAGGTTGAGGGCACCACGTTTCGGGTGGGTTTGGGTTGCCCATTTTGGCATGGGTCCAACTTTTCCGGCAGGAATTGGACCGCAGGTTTTAGTCCATGTTTCCATCCGGAGCAAGCCAGTTTGGGGTTACCCGGTTTTTGACCACGACACCCAGGCCCTTTTGTAAGGCCGGCGAGGCGCGTGTGCACATGAGACAAAGTAGGGGCACCCCATGGGTGGTGTCATTTCGGCAACCCCACAATGCAACCCTCGACAAGAACAGATCCCAATCAACATGACGGCTGGAAGCCAGACGTTGTACACAAACGCATATACAGGGCAGCAAATCAGACGCATGAAGCATGGAAGTGACATAGACGTGGTGGACGTTTGCTAGGAATGCTTGAGACACAAGCTAGATGCATAAGATGTTGAGCCGTGTGTTTACTTGTTGTTGCACGACTGGGCCTATGCCAGCTTTCTATCTGAAGAAGTGCTTTGTGCATGACTCAAACGCATGCTGGATATGTGCTAGTATGTTAGACACATGGCATACATAACCTGGAGATCCAGTAGATTTCCGCCAGCCGATTTTCAGTCAGACACACTCGCACATGCCGCAAACTCACTATAGGTGAGTGTCCAAACCAATGAAGCGCTGTTGCTGTAAGAGGTGTGAGACATGTTTTATTGCTAATCAGTATGTAGATCAGGAATTGTGAGACAGCAAGTGTCAAAAGGAATGGGCTGGATGTATAAGCAGCACACGGTGTGTGTGTGTGTGTGGGTGTGTATATATAAAAATGTGTGTGTGTGAGTGTGAGTGTGTGTGTGTGTGTGTGTGTGTGTGTGTGTGTGTGTGTGTGTGTGTGTGTGTGTGTGTGTGTGTGTGTGTGTGTGTGTGTGTGTGTGTGTGTGTGTGTGTGTGTGTGTGTGTGTGTGTGTGTGTGTGTGTGTGTGTGTGTGTGTGTGTGTGTGTGTGTGTGTGTGTGTGTGTGTGTGTGTGTGTGTGTGTGTGTGTGTGTGTGTGTGTGTGTGTGTGTGTGTGTGTGTGTGTGTGTGTGTGTGTGTGTGTGTGTGTGTGTGTGTGTGTGTGTGTGTGTGTGTGTGTGTGTGTGTGTGTGTGTGTGTGTGTGTGTGTGTGTGTGTGTGTGTGTGTGTCTGTGTGTGTCTGTGTGTG